GCCCAAGCCAGGCAGAGATGGCCCCGGCTGCCCAGGGCTGAGCGTCACAGCTGTGGGAGGCAGTGTGCGTGCATGAGCGTGGTGGGGGCCAGGCCGTCCCCCGCCATGGCCTTGCGGGGCCCCCGTCCTAAGGCATTTCTGCAGCAAGCCTCTCTGCCCCCGCGCGCTCTGGGCAGCAGCTCAACCCCCGAAAAAGGGCCACGGGCCTCTGTGGTCTCCTCGGTGGGTCCCAGCGCCCCTCAGCGCCTCTGGCTGGCGAACCAGGAGAAGGGGCGCGGGCGCGGGGCCTGGCGGACACGCACCGTGCGTGGCGAGCGCCAGGCTTTGATGGTGGCGTCGTCGCTGGCCGTCAGCAGGAGCTCCTGCTCCTGGGGGCTGAAGGCCACTGAGTTGACCACGTCCTGGTGCCGCAGCTTGGCCAGGCAGATGTTGTAGTGACGCTCCCAGACATAGCCGTGCCGATCCTCTGCCCCACTGCGAGAGCGCCTGGGATGAGCCCCCGACCACCCACTGGGGCCCCTCCCCACCCGGCTCCGCCCCCGGACCTGGCCACGAAGTCCCTGCTGACGTCCAGGAAGATAAAGAAGCACGCGTCGTTGGGCGTGTAGGCGCGGTGGGCGCGCAGGGCCTGCTTCACCTCCCGCATGGTCTTGAGGTCGAACACCAGCAGATCGATCTCCTCTGCGATCGGCGGCGGCTGCATGGGGTCGGCCACCACCGAGCCGCTGGGCCAGGCGCGGCTGTTTACGTACAGGTACCTGCATGGGCACGCTGCTCAGTAAGGGCCTGCGGACGCCCCCACCCAGGCTGCCAACAGAGGCCCACCTGTTGTCGGGGGACAGGCCCATGCCGATGATGTGTCCGTGCACGTCGATGACGTGGTCAAGCGCGTCGAAGAAGGCGTCGGAGCCCCGGCCCTCGCCCAGCACAGGCCCCGCCGTGGTCATCTGGTGCGGCAGGATCTGCTTGATGCCTGTGGGGGCCGGGTGGGCAGCGCCTCGGTGCCTAGGAGCGCCCAGACGCCCGTGGCGCCACCGGCCCTGTGCCCCTGGATCCGAAGGTGCGCCCCGGGGGGCTGCACAAGTGCTCACCCCAGGGCAAAGGGAGGAAGGGACTCTGTGCACAGACGGGCCCCGCCCCACCCTGGGAAGCCGCGCCCGGGCCCCTCACCGATCTGGTGCGGCGAGTAGGTGGAGCAGCCCGTGGTGAAGATGAGGAGTTTGCTGCCGGCGGCGGCCGTGCTGCGCTCGGGGGGCTTGGTGTGGCCCTGGGCCAGCAGCTCGGCCGCCTTGGTCTCCAGCACGCACTCTGACAGCTGGGGCTGGGCCCGGCCCTCCAGGAGGCGCCGCAGGCCCTTGGCGCGGGCCGGGCCCGGGTCGACCGCCTGGTCCTCGCTGTCGCTGCTCAGGTCAAAGACACGGCAGGGGTCTGCGCCAGGGGCGCCGGCTTCCAGCAGGAGTTCCGGGCTGTCAAAGCGGCTGCAGTCGGCCACCATGACGGTGCGGATGGTGCTAGCGTTGAGGTTCTGGATCTTGAAAAGCCGCTTCACCACGTTCACGTTCTCTGACTCCACGTCCTGGGGGCAGGAGCGCAGGGGTGGGCACGGGCTGCTGGGGGCCGCTGCTGGCCGCAGGGCCCCACCCCCACCCCGCGCGCACCTGGAAGGCGTTGTTAAGCCAGAGCACAGAGCACGACGTGATGTCCCCGATACGGTGCAAGTTTCCCGAGATCAGGCTGGTGTCCGTGAGCCAGCAACCGAACACGTCGTAGGGCTTGTTGCGCACGCGGGACAGCAAGGCGAAGGTGTCTGGGGGGAGCAGCAGGATGGGGCGAGGCAGGGGGGG